CACGTAGTGGCGAGGGATGGAACCTTCTCGTGGAGGGAAGTATTGTGGTGATGGTCCCTACCTGAAATTGTTGCCTTCCCCAGTTTACCAGCTCCCTTGGAAAAGTTTCTAGATCAAATCAACTTGTAGCCCCGGCAAACTTGGCAAATTCCTTTGTGGGAAGTGAAAAGAAGACCCGACAATTTTCTTTCCTTCAACTAGATGTGCCAGGGAACGACTAGAAGAAGCCAGGGAGTGTTCTCTTGCTTTCCTATTCGCCTCGCAGTAATCCGGAGCTGTATGTGCGGTACCGTGTGATTAATCCATTTAATTCTCACTTCGGCAGAGGAGCCTAAGACTTCTCGAAGTGAGAAACATGGAGCAGGAGTTTTGCAGCTCTTTTCTTTCTAATTGCACGGGCTGCCTGCTCTTGCTGGTTGCTGGAATGAATTCGGAGTGGCAATTACGGCTCTTTCTGGCTTTGAGGAACATAAGGGAAGAGCTGCTGTGGATCTGACTCGCTTGGATGCGTGGTAGCAGCTGGAAATAAGGCAAAGCCGTATAGGCAGGGTGGGAAAGCATCCCTGTGAGTGTCGGGAAAAGCTGTTATTTCCAAATCCAGCTGCTGTTTTTTTGGTCCTGTCACTGGAAACATATTTAGCAATAAAAGCTAAAAGGAGCAGTGTCTTTCACAAGGTGGGAACTGGCAAAGGAGACCTCTGAAAACCCGAGAATTATACAAGAATTAGGAACCCAGGAAGCGTTCGCTTCATTTCTTGTGCCACAGGATTATGATAGCGTCTCGTACCTCTTCGTCTGATCAGGACAGGATCATGGAAGCGAGCGCAGGAAGCCGTTAGGACAGTTATCGGCGTAGAGCTAAACAAGGGAAAAAAGTCCTCAGGCAGTCAATCAAACCGGTAGGTTCAGCTTTATCTCCAAAGGCTGCAAAGAGATTCCGCTAAATTAATGCCAAGTGGCTGAAATCAATAAGTGAATAAGCCTGTATTTCCCAGAGTGGGAGACTTGGGGGGGGGCGGGGAAGAACGAGATTTAGAGCAGGATTCGGCTGGATTGGTGCTCTCACGTCCTCCCAAACACAAACCAGAGCAGAAATAAAGACTAAAGCCCTGCAGTACCGAGGAGAAGAACCCCAAGGAGCGAGTTCTAAGATGGTTGAGAACTGTTAAGAAAGCAGCGGCAGACTTGTGTAGGCGTTCTCGCTTGGGGGTTAATTATTGTAAAGGATCCTTCATTCACACAAGTCTCTTTGTGTCTCTGTAGTCCTTCTGTTTCTCGTCCTCTGGCGTGGGCTTTGCCATTCTCTGCTTGCTTTCCGTCTCCTGGTTCTGTGTTTTCTCCACTTTTAATTGTTCTCGACTCTTTGTTTTCAGTCAAATGTGCGTTTTGGCTGGTAGTTAAGCATACTGGATGTCAGGGTGGGTTTTTTTCTGTTTTAACTTACCCACTGTCTTTCTGTGTGGCCTTGGAAGCTAGTCTTAACATGGTCTATGTCTCTGTTTACTCATCTCTGAAATAAATAACACCTACTGGGCTGGGCAGTAATAGGGATAATTAATTAATGCATGCAAGGAGTTCTGAGGTCCTTAAGTAAGAGAAACCCACGGATCATTAGGTTAGTTAACTCTCTGCTTTGTTTTTCCTCCATTTCTTCTCGATTTAGGTCTCTCAGAATGTGAAGTTAAGTGTGTCAGGACTTTTTTCAGGCTGTTGCTTTAACTCCTGTTGATGTCACTTCTCCTTTCAAGTGGAACTTTAAAACCAATAAGGTAAATTACACACGATCCTAGAATGAGGAACTAACAAAAGCATCTCTTTAATTTTTCATCCAGAAAATATTCTCGTTTTACACTCTGCTTCTCTTACTTAAAGGAACCATAAATCAGCGTGTTCCTTTGGTGTTTGCAGTCACCGGGAGAGATTTAGTGCTGCTGGCAGGCCCGGGTCTGGAACGGGCAACTGTCGAGGGCAGAGAGCTCTACGGAGCCACATTCCATTCGCACACAGGTTTGCTTTACTTGGCTGTCGCCCAGATGATTTTTTGAGCCACTTGTGAGCACGAGGGAAATGCTGTGGGCAGAGGGGAGCGTTTTTCATGGTGTGGTCAGTCTGTCACCTCGACTGGCTTTTATTCACCTTTACTCTCCTGTCTGCAAAGACAAGAGGGAAACACACCTGGGCGCTTCAGAGAGCAGCGGGCGTTCCCAAACCCATCTTTCTCGGCAAATACGTCGGTGTGTCACAGCCAAGCACCTGCGCCTCCCTGCCTGATGAGAGCGATTGTTCTGTCTCTTGACCGTGCAGAGCGAAAAGGGGGAAGCCGAAAAAAGCGTGGGTGTTGCCCGAGGCGCGCGTGATTCTGTTCTTCACTCTGCTGCAGAGTGAAGCCTCTTTCTGCTCTTTCCTCTCGAGTACCCCTTCCCCAAGTCCTACCGTAGCCGTGAGACTTAATTCCATTGTATCCAGAGGCGCTTTGGGATGCACGTCGATACCTCGCAGTTGCCAGAGGGTCAGATCCCTTCTGCGTGTGTACACAAAGCTATTTCCACCTTTTTCCACTCAGTGCTCGCCGGCACTCCTGTCGCCGCCTCCCCAACTCTCTTGTCGCTACAAGAAGACTTCCAGCTGCAAGATAGGGTTGGGAGTGGGTCGACCTGCAGTCACCGAGCTGCGATAAACTGGTTGTTGATGCTAAAAGCAGCTCTGTCCTTTGAAAAGAGAAGCGGCAGGACTTGCTTGGCAAGCCTGACAGCTTTTGGGCTCTGCCAGCTGTGGTGCTGGCGACCGCCTCTCTGATTTCTGCTCGTTTAGGGCAGAATCTGGCCTCAAAATTGGAGAGTACCTGCAACCTAAGCGGTGGTCATTTCTTTCCTTAGCTACAGGGTATGAATCTCATCACCGGCTCTTGTACTTGAACTCCCTTGTCACCGCCAGACTGCTTCGGCATCAGTAGCTCCCGGTCTAGCACTGCTCTTCACCGTATTTATTTAGTCAGGTTGGGATTCTAGTTCCTCTTGCAACTAACTCGCTCCTGCTGTTGAGTTTGCCGACTCTGCCAAGGTACGAACAGCCGCCAGCGCTCATTGCTGCTTTGCTCCGGGCTACCCGGTACCCGGGAGAGGTGAGGGACGGGCTCCCGCGGAGCCCGGGCCAACCTTCGCGGGACTGCGGGGAGCCGGCTGACTGCTCGTGCGTGCAGTTTGTCTGACTGTGCTGAGGCAAGCTTCACATTTCCACTTAATTTGCTTTTTTTTTTTTTTTTTATTTTCAAATGTACATGCAAAAAAAAAAAAAAAACCAAACCCCAAAACCATCGGCACATGACAGCACTGGATCACAAGGAAGAAAGGGTGGGGGTTCAGCGGGCGAAGCTGGCTCTGGTATTTGGGAGAAACATCAATTTGCACAGAGTTCACCGTAACATTCTCTTGAAACTTAATCTAAACCGAGACCATCTCTAGTGCAAGAGCCTCTAAAAGTACTATACAGCTTGAGGAGTTTTTCTGTCTCGTTTCTTAGGGGTGGACAACCACACGACAAAGGTGGAAGTCACCCAACTGCAGCAGCTTGGTCTAGAATGTGTCTCTCTGGGCAAATGTATGTCATAAATAGCTGTTTCTGCAAAAGGCTCCCCCTTCCCTCCTAAAAAGACATGTCAGAGTGTCTGTAAACTGCGCACGCGGCTGCCTTCCCGGGAGAGACACTGGCTGACAGTGAGAGCAAAGGAAAGTCCATCTACTGAACCTTGCACTGGAAACACAGCGGGAAGTGACTGCACATCAGCACGTGTCACGTTCACACAGCTTTATTAAAGGTGAGGAGTGATCTTTATAAGGGCTGTGGTTCTGCTACACACCATTCCGTATGTCAGTTCTCTGTAAGTAGTCGAGAAGGTGAAAAAGTCCCGATAAAATGCAAAACGCATCAGGACTGCATCTCCTTCCATCCCCAAATCCAGGATTATGTAGTTCCTGGGAATCTTCCTCTGTAACTGCAGACAACAAAAATTAACCATTGCTTTTTTTTTTTTTTTTTTTTTTTTTTTTCCCTCATTGCAGGGGAGGGGGTTACACACTTTTAAACTCAGACTGACAAACCTGTGAAGGCTTAGATGTAAAACACCACATACAGAAACATCAGGCAGGCGGGTTCTGGGGTTGCACCTCTAGGCTCGCAACTCTTGGGAGATCCCAGATTTAAAAATAAGTCATTATTTCCTTTTGGAGTTGTCTGCCAGTTGTTCAGTTCAAATAGGCAAGGGAAGGTTCCTTTTGGAGGACGGTATTCCTTCAGCCGGCATGTTCATGGGAAAACCTGACCTTTCCAGGAATACCGGCTGTCCTTCACGTATGCAAAGAACCAAATCCCAGACGTGGGTCCTGGGCAGGAGAATAAAGAGTTTCCCTTTGGTAATAATTCCGACTTCCATTCTCTGCTCGCTCGCTCTCTCTCTTGCCCTTTTTATGGGGACGCGTATTAGTGCCCACCTGCTTCCCGTAACTCGCCTGCCTCCTGGCATGATGATGGGTAGAGAAAATGGATTATTCCTTTCGATGGGCAGCGGAGACATGCTTTGCTCTTGGCTGAGTCCTGATCTCACCCCTGGGTTGCCCTGGAAGGGAAAACCCAAACGCAGCCTCTTGGCGTTAAGCGACTTGGCAGGGGCGCGTTGCGGGATAATGCGATCCAGTTTCTTCCCTGGATTTCCTGGTGGGGTGCGAGGGGCTGGGTAGGATGCCTTCGGCGAACCGGGAGTGCAGTCAAGGGTGGGAAATCCATCCCGCTGTGGACAGACCTACAGAGGAAGGGCGTCCTAGCAGGAATATTTTTAGAGTAAAAGCATTTCATGTTGCTGTTTAAAAAAAAACCAACAAAAACAACAAACAAACAGAAATTAGTGTGGCTGGCAGCTGTGATTTCGTGAGAATAAGCGTTTGTTCCATCCGTAAAGGGAGTGAAAGTGCCCCCTTAGAGAAAGACAGACATAAAGGCGATAGAGGACTCACTGTGGGTGTGTCAATGCTTCTCTTGGCATCCTTGAACGTGACAGAGGATAAATATTCTGTTGTTTCTCGAAGCAGATACCCGAGCATAGCCGTTCTGATCGGGGGCTAAACTACTGTGCATTTCTGAAATGTCGAACGTTAAAAAAACTGTCCCAGGCCAACTGATGGACAACCGTGCACTGTCTCTGACGCAGCAGTGGCATCCTTTGGAGATGCCTCGGGACCTGGCATTTGACTGTGGGAAGTCAACCTTGTCCCATGAAGCCTGCGTCTGCATGGGGGAATGAGGCAAAAGAGCACAGCGAGCAGCTCAGCTGCGACCGAGACTTAAATAAACTGAGTTCTTGTGGGAAGGGCACCTCCCACTTCCAGGGGCAGCTCCGGTTGGCTTGGCCAGTCTTTGTTTGCGGGACATAATGCTCAAAAGCTTAAACACTGGACAAACTGCTAAAGTTACAGCTAAACAACATCATACCATCGATCTACTCGTGGCTAGAAAAAAAAGGAGAGAGGCGATCCAAAGTCCTTCAGGCTGGGAAAGGTTTCCATGAATTAGTGCTTGTATGTGTGGTGGACCTAGTCGCCTCCTCCGTTGTGCAGTGCTCAAGGAATGTCTTTGAAGGTCTCAGTCTTGTTTCTTCTCCCTCACCCTCGTTCTGAATTTGAAGCAGCATCCACCCGAGATACTCGTGAAGAGTTGGGAGCTTTTTTATGGTCAGGATGTGAAGTAGGAGCTCTGCATGGAGTAGAGTCGGTCAATGGGGTTGCCCACGCGGGCTTGGAGGAGGTTGGCTTCAGCCGTTGACAGCAGGCAGTCTCCCAGGTGGCTGATGCTGTCACTGTCCATATCGTGAAAAACTCCTTCTGAGTCTAGAAGAGGAAGGAAAAGGAAATGAATGCGAAGGTGGCACGAGCGTATCCCGTGGGGAGCTGCAGGGCCGTGTTTCACCCGGAGCCGTGGTCACCCCGAGCAGGTCTGAGGTGAGCCCCACACACAGCTTTAGGCATAAGTCTTTCCTCCCTCACCCAAACGTTTCATGTTGGATGGAGGGAAGACCTCCGCCTGGCTCCCCAGCCCCCAGCAGAGCTCGGTCTGAGGCTCTGGCCTCACCGAACTTCTGAAAAAGGCTCAGCGCAAAGGCTGAGCCCTGGGGAGCGCTCGCTGCCGCGGCTGTTCATCACTTGGGAGTGCTACGCGCAGCTTTGATGCGGAGACGGGACGATCTCCGCACCGCTCTCCTACCGTAGGGGTGCAGATGGTCTCCCGGCAGCTGTGGTGGTGTCAACCCTTGTCTGTACAAGTCTGTGCTGTAGCCGTTCTGATCCAGGGGCAGCAGCTGCTGCTGGGGGATCCTGGGGTAGGGGACCATGAGCCCATCCAGGCCGTGAACGCTCGCGCCGTCTAAAGACACAACCAGGGGAATGGGTTGAAGCGAAGGGTGCGCAGCAGGCGGCGGGGCAGAGCGCCGTCGCCATAACGTTATTCACATCGCTGCAGCAGCGTTTGGTGGTCTAACTCTGGACCAGCTCTGCAGGGTGCTAGGCTCTGCGCATACGGGCAACAGAAGAAAACCCACAATCTTCTCAAAAAGTGGAGATAGGTGCTGCATCGCAAGTACCCACGAGTCTTGCTGAACATTACCTGACTGCGCCCTCAGTAAGTTTGCAGAGGACACCGGGTTGGGTGGCAGTGTTGACCTGCTTGAGGGTAGGAAGGCTCTACAGAGGGATCGGGACATTGGGTCGATGGGCTGAGGCCAATGGTGTGAGGTTCAACAAGGCCGAGTGCCGAGTCCTGCCCTTGGGTCACACCAACCCCATGGACGCTACAGGCTTGGGGAGGAGTGGGTGGAAAGCTGTGCCCCTGGACTCGGCGCTGGTGAGGCTCCACCTCGAGTGCTGTGTTCGGTTTTGGGGTCCCTCAGGACAAAAAGGATGTTGAGGTTACTGGAGCGTGTCGAGAGAAGGGCAACGAAGGTGGTGAGGGGTCTGGAGCACAAGGAGAAGGGTCTGGAGAACTTTTGAGGAGCAGCTGAGGGCCCTGGGGGTGTTCAGCCTGGAGAAGAGGGGGCTGAGGGGAGACCTTCTCACTCTCTACAGCTCCCTGAAAGGAGGGGGTAGCGAGGAGGGGATCGGTCTCTTCTCCCAAGTAACAGGCGATAGGATATGAGGAAATGGCCTCAAGTTGTGCCAGGGGAGGTTTAGGATGGATATTAGGGAAAATTTCTTCACTGAAAGGGTTTGTCAAGCGCTGGACCAGGCTGCCCAGGGAAGCGGTGCAATCACCATCCCTGGAGGGATTTAGAAGCCGGGCGGACACGGTGCTGAGGGCTGTGGTTTAGTGGTGGATTTGGCAGTGTTAAGTTGATGGTTGGACTTGATGATCTTAAAGGCCCCTTCCAACCTAGATGATTCCATGATCCTTGTTACCCCAACTCGTGCATAGCAATTCCGTTACGACCCGCGTGCCTTTTGCTAATCTCTTCCTGCGGACGTTCTCTCTCCGACACATCCGAGTCGATGCCCTCCACCCCAGGCTGTAGCCCCCCCTCACCTTCGCTATCGTCATTGCTCTGCCTGCTGTTGCGACCGGTCCCTCTCCCGGTCCCTAAGCGAGGGTTGCCCAGCTGGTCTTGCTCCTGCTGTTGCTGCTGCTGCTGTTGTTGCCTGCGAGCAATCTTCTTCATCTGCAAGGAGACGGAGACATGGGATTTGAGGTTTTGACTGAGCGAGGAGGGGAGTGGGTCGCATTTAACACAGCAGCGGACCGAGAGCTGCCACCATCTAACCCTGCTCAGACTCCTCCGGGCGACTTCTCTGCAGTCAATGTTCTCCGCGGCCGTCCCTGCTTGAGAAACGGGGCTGACAGAAAAGGCCGCGTTATCTTTGTGGGAGATGCCATTTGCAGTTTAAAAACCAAAGGATTTTGTTTTACTGCAGAGCGAGCTTTTCAAAGCCACATATTTTCTGTTTTCAGCCTTTAAATTCTGCAAAATTAGAAGCGGTTCAACTTCTAGAAGCAAGAAGTGGGAAATCCTTCTAGTCTTTCTATAGTGAAGGGGAAAAAGCAAGTAGAAAAAGAGTAATAAACGCCCCCCGTGACCAACGTGAACAACGTTAAGCCCTGCAAACATCTGTAATGGATCAATTTTTGTATTTCTCATTAAGCTTTTGCTACTACTAGGTACATGTTGTAGGACTAGGTGGACCTGTGGATGGTCCTGCCTAGCCGTTCTTCGGTTCTTCTAACCATTTTCTCTTTTTTTAAGCTATTCTACATTTCCTTGTGATCGAAGGAGGGGGCGTGATATCCCACGGGCATGCAGAATCCAACTGTGGCCCGAGAACCGTCATCACTCACCTTGGCTCTTTGGTTCTGGAACCAGACCTGTACCACCCGCACGGTCAAGCCCGTCTCGGCTGCCAGGGTCTCTCTTACCTGTCCGCAAAACCCGGAGAGCTGAATCAGAACTTAAGTTGCGCTTAAAAAGGTTCCAAGCCAGCACTCGTGCTGAGTGGCCTCCTTGTACCTTTCTGCAAGGTTTGGAGGAAACCTCGAACGAGGCCTTGAACGCCCGACGCTGCTGCGTGGTAAGGATGGTGCGCGGGCGCTTGGAGCGCTTGTGGTCTTTGCTCTCCTCGCTGCCTTTGCCGTGCGAGTGGCTGCCGTCTTCGTCCTCGCTTTTCACTGCAACGGAAGATCGGGAGGGGTCATTGGGCAGAGAAGGGCCATCTCCCAGGGCGAGGATTCAGAGAAACTTGTCAGGGTTTTGCTCCTTAAAGGCGCGATTTAGAGCAGAAGCGCAGAACGGAGCCGGCGAAGCTCGTGGACTGAGCTGTCAGTCCAGAGACAGAGCTGATGGGCCACCCTGGCTCCGTATCGTCCATTCTGTAATGTCTCAGCCTCAGAGCCGCCCACCCAAACCTCCCCAGATCTCCGCAGATCCCCCTTGGCTGCCTGTCACCAAGGGGAAAAGATGCTACGACCTCCACCCACCTACATCTCCTCCCTCGGAAGCCTTCCCTGGAGTTAATTAGGCACCAGGCGGTACCTGCCCTCTACGAGGTTCCCCCTGGTTTCCCCACCCTCAGCACCGCTCCAGCCCCGGCCCCTCACCGGACTCAGTGGGTGCGGGGCTGATAGCGCTCAGCATCTCCTTCTCCTTCTCGTAGTCGCTGCGGCACAGCAGTTGCCCCTCCTTGAGCACGAACTCATCCCCCCGCTGCAGGCGCCGCTCACACTCGCAGCAGTAGAAGCAGTGAACGTGGTAGACGTTCTCCAGCACCCGCATGATGAGCTCGGAGGGGGCGATCGCCTTCAAGCAGCTGCTGCACTTGGTCTGGAACAACCTGCAAAGAAGGGCCCGGTGGTTAGACGCTTGGGCAGGGGAGATCAGCCCTGGGTTGGGGCTCAGGAAGCCGAGGGAAGAAGGGGGTGGATGTTTGGAGCTGCAAGAAATGTACGTCCCAACTGTGTTTTGGGCCTTTCTTGACCTTCCGTAGCCCCAAGGAGGAACACAAACTTGCCTGCCCCAACAGGACGGAGGTCCGCGTCCCCTCTTCCTCTCCAGGGCTGTTCACTGCCTGCCTTTGTTCGGTTGCTCCTAGGGAGAGGACTTTACGGACCCCTCCAGGAGCGTCCCCGGAGGAGCCTTGCGCAGGGAGTCCCGCCGGGGCGGCTGTTTGTGCCCCACACCGTGTCCAGAGAGAGACACAAACAACTGCTGAGCGCCCCGCGTACAGAGCAGATGGTTCTGATGAAGTAATTTGGGATCTAAACAAATGTGAGCGGTGGTGGCTGCCGGCTGACAGCTTCTATTTAGCCACTTGACAAGAGAAAGTAATAAAATAGGGATTAATTAGGCTGTTGTTTAAACACACAGGATCTTCCCCACCAGCAGGGAACTCATAAACTGGGATTGAGAACAAGACTGGGTTAATCCTCCTGGCAAACTCTGTGGAGCAGGATGAAGAGGCTTACAGGGGTGGGCTCATCCCTTCCAAATACCACCATGGATTTGTGCTGTGCGGTGGCTTTCGGCTGAAGTGCCTGGGACATTCCAACTGGAATGGTGTGGGATTTCTCG